GAGTTTTTCTCCATGGCAGATTGATTCTCATTCTAAGTTGGCAGCTAACAAGATAGTGGTCTGTAGCACATTCTGGTCCGCGTTTTGCTTTTGTACATAGTGCGTCGACCATATCTGACTTTCTCATGATGACATAAGCAAGCAGATAATACCCCGGTAGTGACCTGAGCGTGGGTGTTTCCAGGTGAAATAGTTTTTGTCAGGTTGGAAGAAAAAAGTGGTGGTTATGCTGAGATCTAGTTGTCCACAGAGATTTAGCAGAAGCTCCCCATTAGAGTTCTTTTTCACATTCCCAAATTTGCCAATGACACCCAAGTAGATTTTCCAGTCAGCCCCAACTCTAGCGTTGAAGTCTCCTAGTATAAGGAGCTTGTCTTCTCTGGGGACCTTAAGCACTACATCAGTGAGTTCTTGGTAAAAGGCCTCCTTCTCATCAACTGTGTAGGTCATCTTGGGTGCATACACATTCACTAGAGACAAATAACGTCCTCGCTCAATAGGTATTCTCATGGACATAAGTCTGGGTGAGATCCCAGTAGGAAGTGTTGTTAACTTCTTGGCAATCGTGTTGTGAAACGCAAAAGCAACTCCGGCTTCTCTGGGTCCAGTGGTCTTCCCAACCCAGAAGAAGGTGTATTCGGCTTCTTGGAGTTAACCCTGTGCATCAAGACGCGTTTCTTGAAGGGCTGCAATGTCAATGCAGGACAGCTGCAGTTCCCTTGCAATCAGGGCAGATCTTCGTTCAAGTCGATCATTTTTATCAAGCATGGTACGCACATTCCATGTTGCAACAGTTATCCTCTTCTTCTTTGATTTGGAGTTTCTACCGCATCAAGCGAAGTCCTGCTGACCTGAGTATGCTTTCTTTACACCACCTTTTCTAGGGGCTTCCCTTACAAGGGCAGGCAGTGCTATCCCTAAAAAGGGCTGCCTGGACACTCGCATTGCTGCCTCAACGTACTGGTACTCAGGAGTCAGTTCAGTTGCGACCATCAGATGCGAGCCGCCTGAGTGCAGAGCTTCTGCTAGCAGCTCCCAGCTACTTGAGCCTGTTGCCGTTACATAGACTCCATTGCCCCAGGACTTTCCCACACTCAAAACAGAACGCCGCGCACAGAAATAAAATCCAGTTGGTGTTGTACCTTCACCAGACTGCCTCTCTGGTCCTCATCACCTAATACAATGCGGTACGCAATAGCACAACATGCCTTGCTGGAGAAGAGGTTGCCCCGCAGTAACAGCTAACTTGCTAGTCAATGCCATCCGTTGGCCTCATCTGTTGAGGCTCCTCCGCATGCCATCTGGAGTTCACGCCATTGGCTTGGGAGCTCATCTGCTGCTTGCACCGCTAAACATCCTGCTGCCGATGTCTAGACCTGTAACCCAGGGTAGGGAGGCATGAGGGTACTAACACTTGCCCAAGGTGAACCCCCAGACTAGTGGAGGGAAGGAGTCGTCTTACTTCTCCATTCTAAACTGGCATTTCAGTCTAGCCACCGCCGTCAGATGACATAATGTCTTGTAGTCTAATAGCTCTTGAGTAATGCGGCGGTCTCTGTGTATGACACGGAGTTAAAGAAATTACTTATACAATTATCGACCATATATGTACATAAGAAATAAGTATATAAGCGATACCTGGAGACATGTAGAGAGATGTAGAGGGAGACATGGAAGGAAGCAGCAAAGGGGGTTGGGAGCGGCAAACTACAAAGCAAAGTAATTACGAGCTAGACTTCACTAAGAATATGTAGCTACTGAGCATCAACAAATAAATCATTTAACTGGTCATTATGTGGACTTGTGTTTTCTTTGCACGACCTTACGTAAATTTGACACAAAGCGTGGAATCTTTGGATTACGTTATCCTTTAAGTTAGACGGAAATGTTATGTCCTATTTCAAGCCCACACTTGAATTAAGCATACAAAATCCTATAAATGTGTGGAACTTCCGTCATGTGTATATGAAAATTAAGGTTCATTACAACCCTCCATCCCTACATGTGCACGTAAAAACAAAATTGATAATAATACATGATGTAAATTGAAAAAATTAAAACCTTGTTAATTTGGATTTGCTTTATACACAATATGATCATGTTACGTATTGTGTTCACGACAAAAGCCAAACAGGTGTCATTTACTCCTAATGATATGTTGGGTCGCACTCTCCTTGACAGAATTTGCACATGTATCAGCTGAAGATATTTTTTTAAATTAATCTATTTCATAACTCAAGGAGTTGTAGTAAGCAAATGCGGTTATATGACCGATCTAGCACAAAACTTAAGCCCTTGCCATTAGGCAAATTGACACATTCTTAAGTCATTTTTAATAATTTTTTCTAATGTCCCAAAATAATTTTTGCTTGGAATTACTTTTGAACTGCTCCAGAAATATATTGTGAGTGCATTGTAGTAACTGATCAGAGGCCATGGTAGATACAACACTCGTCACCGAGCTGTACCTGAAAATTACTCAACCTGCGGCTTGACAATACACTCGTAATATTTCACGTTTGGCTCAGCGACTTGTACTGTATCTATCATTAATTGCAATGTTCAGGGCCCGGTTTTATCAAGGCTGAATAGCACTATCCTATGGATAAAAATGGCTGCTACACTCTGGATAGAGCTATCCAGAGGACAATGTGTTTCATCAACAGTGGATAGTGTTATCCAGAGGATAAACTTGTCCGCTCAAAATAGGTGGGCTAAGTCTCCTATCATGCTGTCAAATCATCAAAAATGGCAAACCTTCCTTTATGAGTAAATCCTATGAGATTTCACAGGTATAGAATTGCCCTTCAACTGCAAATTGTAAACATTGCATGAGGCACAACTAATGCAATGTGGTCTGTTTTTGACACTGACACTAAAATATCCTGTAGATATTATTCCCATTATTTAAATGAGGGTACTATCTTGAAATAAACTTATAATGTTTATTATGGGTAATTTATTTTTCAAATATAGTATAGATCACTTTTTTGTTAGCAATCGTCATATGGCTTTTATAATGTTTATAGCAACCAACTGCATTATGGAAATGTCTTTTTCCAAATATGGAACTGGATAATTTCTTTATCCACTGGATTACTATCATGCTTTTTATCCAGCCTTTGTGAAACAAATTTATACAGAGGATAACTATACAGAGGATAAGAAATTTATACCTTGGATAGTGTTATCCATGGGATAGCCTATCCAGCCTTGATGAAACCGGGCTCTGAATGCTTACCCAGCTGTGGTTTTATTTAATTACCACTGTTAAGGTTTCTTTTGGAACCAGCTTCGTCTCCACGAAAACAACATACCTGTACAGCGTTTAAGATGTTTCTCACACAACGACCAGGTGCAGCTTTGTCATTGGCAATTTTCTTTTTATTGTTTACTGCTATCTATACCCCCATAACTAAACTGAGAAAGCAATTATGTTACAGCGCATTTCCGTGGATAAAATCACTGAGCCTCCTAATGAAAATACAAGTGTGATAGAGAAGAGTGTGATATAAAGATTTTTAGTGTGAATTGGGAGATCAATAGATATGTCCCCAAATTAGGGAGACCCCCGACAAGATCGGGAGAGTTTACTGGTATGGGCCACAGACTGATCGGCGTTTGTGAAATTCATAGAAACTACAAAAAAAAAATAANCTAAGGCTATAAAATACCACAATAAGACTTTACTTCTTTAGGAGAAGATATGATTTAAAATACGATCCCCGGTTTTTAATTATCAATAATGAAACATACCTGTATTTGAATGGAAAATTACCACATTTCAGGTCTGACTTCTTCAATGGCCTAGGCCTGCCATCATATCATGTCGAAGACGTCACAACAAACCGACCAATAAACAACGTCCTTCCCGTAAAAGGTTAGGACGAGTTTATAAATCCATAGGGGTAAAGGCCTCACTACCTTGTTATTATATCCCTATTAACTCAGAAATTACCCATTTTAGATGTCCAATTAATTTAAAAAATATTAAGTAAAATATTTTGGAATTTCAAAATTATTTTTAGACATAGAACGATACCATTATACTAGATTAGATTTATTTCACCCCTTTTACTGGGAACCGGAAAATATGACCTATATTTTATTTAGGTCAACATTGTGTTCTCGCAGAGCACGTGGAACCGCGTAGACAAGTAAACAGTGACTGCGTCACAAAGGATACGAGACATTCGGCACGCAATGTAATGTCTCAAGTGTGAAAATGTAAGTTGAACATTTTTCAGTGGTCCAATCGCTACACTGCAACAACACCAGTGTTTCCGTTGTTGGTTACGACGTGGGCCTCAATGCATTTTGTGGAATGTCAAATGCATGTGTGATCCCGAATTTACCCTACCCTAGCGATTTCAAGTGATGTATTTCCTCATCACATAGATCTAATTGTGTAAAATCGAATTTCCCAAGATGTTAAACCAAACAACAAAGCTTCTCGGGTCCGTTCTGCGGGGGCCGACAGAACGAGTTTAGTCTGCGCTTCATATACACTGAGCAAAAAATATATATAGTATAAAACCCCCCTAATGTGAATTGTACATGTAAATATTGGGATGCGGACAGTACAGTACATATGTATATAACCCATAATGCTGATAAAACGTGAGGCGTTTATATTTTTGTTGAGCACTAATTTTAAACGTATATATATATGTATCAGATCTTACAACAGGTTAATTTAACACAATTTAATATTTGTCATAACCTGAGACTGGTAAATGGAAAAGTAGAATGCATTGAGAATGTCCTTTTAAATGATTTTCATCAATCAGTAAGGCGTGCAGCCTTGCATGCTTAGAAGACAAATAAAAAAAAAAAAATGTCAATTGGCATTTGGAGAACTGAAACTCAAACTAGTCATAAATGTTTAAATTGTACTTTCTATATGGCTTTATCAGATATTCAAGATGCCACCAACAAAAAGGAAAAAGAAAAATGAGAAAACGCTACATAAGAAAAAAACAAAGGCTACTAGAAACCCAATGGTTCTGGTTCCAGTGGACATTATGAAAGTGCCCCTGCCAGCACATGCATTGGAGGTGATAGAGAAGAATGACAGGAAGGAGACTGACAGGAAGAAATTGGATATTGCAGCCAGATTGAACATAATTCACGAGAGGATTAAAATTGTAAGACTGAAAAAGGCCAATAACTAACATGGAAGCAATCTAGCTGCCTCCTCTTATCTTTTTTTAAATTTTCATAAAAATGAAAATACAGATCTAGCTGTGGGTAACATAAACAACATTCACAAAGTCTGAACTTTTAAAGGAAGACATGTTGGGTTCATTTCTGATATATCACTTTATTTAAGAAAAAGGTACTGATTAACAGGAATATATATCATTTCCTTGCATTTTCTCTATTTTGAATTTTTCAGGCTTATGAAAATGCTGGTATGGTCACCAATATCTACTCCTCATCTTCAGAGGTATTCATTTAATCTTTTTGTTCTTCATGACGACTGTGATACACATGTATGAGTCAAAATATTTGGTTGGAGATATAAATTAATTTTCATATATTTTCATTAGCCAAAAAAGCTAATTTATTACTTTATTTTACTTTATTTTTGTTGACATCTTATCAAATTGTTAAACCTTTTCTTCTCTGCTTCCTTTCCAAACGAATAAGGTAAATTATCTTACACAATTAAGCACCAACATTTCCTTTTTGTTTTCCTTGAATTATTTCCATATGATTATTTTGTTACTTCATGAAGTTTATGGTTTCTTGTTTGATTATCTGTGTCTGGTGCTGAGATTAGGATTTCTTTTTTTTTTTCAAACCAAATGCAGACATATTTGCATTTGATTGATAGCAAAATTATTATTTTTGCAATTACATTCTTTTTTGGCAGAGAAAAGTAACTTTTGACTTCACACATTTCAGCGTGAAATGTTACAAAAGCTTCAGCGTAAACCACCCACTGCAGTTTTTGATATAAAAGAAAAGAAGAAAAGGGTAAGACAATTGTTAAAAAATTATGGAAATTGAATAAAAAGAAAATCATTGATGATATTCAGTCTACTTCTTTTTTGTTATTTTTAACTATCTGAAGTGTACTTTTTTACTTGAGAAATATTTTGGTGCCATTTAAAATACCTCCTGCAGTAATATAAGAGTGAAAAAGTACTCATCCTTGATTGTCTTGTTTTTTAAAAAATTTACTTTGATTTTCAGATAGCAGAACAGCATAATATGATGGAATTGGTGAAAACATATTTAAATGGTTGTGAAAAAAGACTTCAGCTCATGAAAGAAGTTGAAATGTGGTTGGATTCATGTAATGACTTAGTAAGTCAGCACAATGTAGTGAATGTGTATGCATGATTAAATTGGGTTGAGTTAGAAACTGGCTGTTAAAAAAACTTGATTTCAGGCATCTTTGTTCTGAGTACACTGTAATATACCAATGCCTGCAAAATGATACTCATAATATTAGGTGAGTTTAAGGCCGCATTCAGAACAGTGGACTAACTAGTTTGGGGGTCAAATATGGCAACCCACTAAAAAGCTTGCTGTCTAATCTGCAAATAGACACTAAATAGATTCCCCATGGGGAAGTATTCAAGTGGGTTGGCCATATTTGACAAGTGGACTAGTTAGTCTACTGTGCTTAAAGGGTTTGCTTCATACCGTCAGAATGGCCTCAACGGAACATATTCTTCAGAAAACATGCCCAACTAACGATATCTTTATCCAAATACACAAATTAAAAGCTCATTTTGTAAATTTTTGGCTTTAAAAAACGTCCTATTTGCTCGGCCTGGGAGTTAATGAGCTACGTGGTCACGTGGTCCGATGACGACAATCGAGCCACTGGAGAACAGAGCGTGCTTAGCTGTCAAACTGAGCTGCATTGTCTACCTGTAAGATGACTTCTCTGGCTTCTGATAAAAGTTAATACTCATTCAAATCTCTTACCCGAGGGATCTAAATCCTCATGAAGCTGTGTAAAACCATTCCCGTCTAGTCAATTCTTTAACGAGCATTTAATTATGGTTATCCCAAGTTGTATAAAACACTGCATTTGAACGTGTAAAGGGTACTGTGGATTATTGCATATGAGGGCCATGTTATTTGTGAAATTCAATTAATTTTATTAAACCGCTGACACTCCGTCTTGGATACTTTTCTTAAACTGAGGTAAACGATGCCCATTACTTTTACAAGTCCCATCTTAATCATCCATCTAACTGGAACTTCCTTAACCTCTTAATTAGAGGGTTAAATGGCTGGCGATATTTATCTCAGGTAAAAATCTACCTGTGCTTTAGTTTCAAAGAGCAGCTCCCGCAGACCTGGGGGTACTAGATAAAATCTGAACACCGGGTTTATTGAGGAGCTAGAGAAACAAAGGAAGAATTTTTCCTGCACAGCTTCATAGGAATTTTAGCACGGACTTGATCCAGCTTAGACCTTCTAATAAACAGGGTGACATGGGCAATTTTCAAATACAAAATAAACAAATAATAAAACTATATTTCAGTTAGCCTCCTCTTAGATAAATATACCGTTCTGGATAAATTAGAACATTTATTAAATCGACAGAAAATTTTTGACTTAAATGATGATTTTATTATTAATGGAAATTAAGCTACTATATGGGGCACATTTGCTGAGATTACGCTGTTCTTGATGTTTTGCGTTAGTCTACATTTTGCTGTGCGTGCTTGAAATTTTTTTATTTTTTATACTCACGTATGTAAAACTGCACATTTAGTAAACATTCAAGTAATGATTTTCCCCATGCTACTTATAGNTCAGGGTACTAGATAAAATCTGAACACCGGGCTTATTGAGGAGCTAAAGAAATAAAGGAAGAATTTTTCCTGCACAGCTTCATAGGAATTTTAGCACGGACTTGATCCAGCTTAGACCTTCTAATTAACAGGGTGACATGGGCAATTTTCAAAAACAAAATAAACAAATAATAAAACTATATTTCAGTTAGCCTCCTCTTAAATAAATATACCGTTCTGGATAAATTAGAACATTTATTAAATCGACAGAAAATTTTTGACTTAAATGATGATTTTATTATTAATGGAAATTAAGCTACTATTTGAGATTACGCTGTTCTTGATGTTTTGCGTTAGTCTACATTTTGCTGTGCGTGCTTGGAATTTTTTTATTTTTTATACTCACGCATGTAAAACTGCACAATTAGTAAACATTCAAGTAATGATTTTTCCCATGCTACTTATAGCAAACAATGCTCTTTTACCTTGATCTGCTACATGTTTTTGGGTTTGACAAAGCATACAAATTTGCAAAAAGTTTTGTGTACAGACGCAGAACTTGTATTTCAAGGTATAAAATGATAAATCTTTTAAATTATTTTATACTTCAGATGAAATAACATTCAGAAACAAATCTTCAAAGCATAAACGAATTAGGTTTACGAACCATTTTAGTACATAAGTTCCTATTTTTTCTTTAATATACCGCTCTTTTTTTCTGTTTGTTCTTCAACACGTTTTCTTCCACGGAAGTAATGCCTGGGCATACGCATGCTTCAAGTTACCCTGAGAGCAATTACTTTTATTAATGTTCGCGGCAGTGTTTGAACTCAATTGTTTAAATATTGATATTAAACGTCATTAACAAATACCAATAAAATCACCCCGTGAAATAAAAGAGATATTTTGAAAAATATGAAAGCCCACAAGACGATTTCGATACCTGTTATTACCTGGGTTGGGAAGTGCAGCGGTGCATAATTAACAGGTTTGTTGTAAACGAGCTTTTGGTCAACTACAATGCATTTAAAATGCATCAGCAATCAGTAAGTTTGCCAACTGATGACAGTTAATCTGAAAGACTACCACCTCTTGATATGATCTACATTGTAAACCACCTGAGGTGACCATGATCTAGAGCATCGCAACTATTGTCACCGAAGTTAGTAAGTCACGGAAGACCCTCACAGACAAAGAAAGATTGTCAAAGAGAGCTGCAATTTTGGTGAATCCCACGGCAACACACCGAGGCATAACGAAAATTCCTCAATTCCGTTCAACACAACTTTCCTTTAACTTCTCCGTCTGTATGCACCATGCAGCTCAGTTGAGTCTCATAGACCTTTATCGTGATTGTCGTCACAGTACCACGTGACCCAGACCTGTTGCTACGTTTATGCATATCAAGAAGTTATAATGAGATATATAACTTCTTGTGCATATTGAGGTGAGGTTTACTAAAACGCTTTTTGTCTACTAATAGATTGTTTTTATAATTTTTAAATTACGGGGATCGATTAAAACATAACTGTAGTGTATAGATTAAGTGCTGGATCTTCAGAATTCGAGAAATAGATTTTTATATGATTATTGTCCTTTAACTATAGAAATGCAGCTCGTACTACTACTACTACTACTACTACTACTACTACTAGAATCTGTATTTCTATATGCTTTATTGCTATAAGATGATCTTTGAAAGTCTTAATTTAGCCTTTATGCTTGCAACAGATTTGGGCTGCTTTGAAATTGACATGGTATTCCAGAACTTGTTTTTTACTCAACTCTTTGGTAGATTCTTGCTGAAATGCATTCACTGTACTCAGCTTGATAGTTTAGCATGTCTCCTTGAATGGCTGGAGTTCAGTGAATTTCCCCCAAGCAGCTCAATGCAAGAGGCATGTCAGACATTTAAGCCATTCAAAGTTCTTGCACTGAGGGAGAATCTTCCCCAGAATTGGATTGATCCAGCTATTACTTTTTGCCAGCTTCATGGTATAGAAAATGCTATCATGTAAAATGCCTATATCAAGTTTTTACATTAAAAAAAATAATTTGAGAGATTCTTATGATGAAAATATTTTAGATGCTTCAGTATATATGCTTATAGGTTATGGCTTATGTGTTCTGTGCTTAATTTCAAGTGTGTGTAGTGGCATCCCCCCCAGTAACTCACAAATAAAAAAAAAAAAAAAAAAAAAAAAAAAAAAAAAAAAAAAAAAAAAAAAAAAAAAAAAAAAAAAAAAAAAAAAAAAAAAAAAAAAAAAAAAAAAAAAAAAAAAAAAAAAAAAAAAAAAAAAAAAAAAAAAAAAAAAAAAAAAAAAAAAAAAAAAAAAAAAAAAAAAAAAAAAAAAAAAAAAAAAAAAAAAAAAAAAAAAAAAAAAAAAAAAAAAAAAAAAAAAAAAAAAAAAAAAAAAAAAAAAAAAAAAAAAAAAAAAAAAAAAAAAAAAAAAAAAAAAAAAAAAAAAAAAAAAAAAAAAAAAAAAAAAAAAAAAAAAAAAAAAAAAAAAAAAAAAAAAAAAAAAAAAAAAAAAAAAAAAAAAAAAAAAAAAAAAAAAAAAAAAAAAAAAAAAAAAAAAAAAAAAAAAAAAAAAAAAAAAAAAAAAAAAAAAAAAAAAAAAAAAAAAAAAAAAAAAAAAAAAAAAAAAAAAAAAAAAAAAAAAAAAAAAAAAAAAAAAAAAAAAAAAAAAAAAAAAAAAAAAAAAAAAAAAAAAAAAAAAAAAAAAAAAAAAAAAAAAAAAAAAAAAAAAAAAAAAAAAAAAAAAAAAAAAAAAAAAAAAAAAAAAAAAAAAAAAAAAAAAAAAAAAAAAAAAAAAAAAAAAAAAAAAACAGCAGATATTGATTGTGAAAAGACTTGAAAGTGATCTTATAGTTCAAATCACTAGAAGGGTTCGTTCACGTGAAGAATCTATTTTCTAAAAATCTATTGGCGGTTTCTTGTGATCACGGTCTGTGCCCTGAATGCCCACGGCGTAATTACTGGCAGCACGAGGGAGTTACTTCCAAAGCTGTAATTAATGCTCGGCTGTGCTCGGAGGAGATTCTGATACCTTTATGTCTAGTCTCTTATTAAGTGTTTTGTCTAATTTATGTACGTTACACGTTCATTTGAGCACTTACTTCTTTTAAAAATGCACAATTGATATCAAAAGTCCTAATCATCAGTGTTTTCTTTACTATTTTCCATTAATCAATTTATTGAAATTATACATTATTATTATTATTATTATTATTATTATTATTATTATTTTATTTATTTACTTTTTTTTTTTTTTTTTGGTTGGGGTGGGGGGGGGGGCAC